TCCGCAACCAAGCGTCCCCAAATAGATGCCATGAGGCACGCTGGCTAATACGTTACAGTAGTGTAGTGCATGCATGTGTGTATATGTAAGGTAACCTTTTCACTGGCATGATCAACTTTAGTACCTAACGCATTTCGTGTTGTCATTGCTAAGAGCCATTGTAGTGGCTGGCCACTCTCTTGTACCATGTGCCACTATAGTGGCGCGAAGGAAACCTTCTTTCAAATGCTATGCGCCACTCTACTGGCTTTTGCTTTCTTTCGCGCCAACTTCTGCATGTCACTATTATTTCAGATCCCTTGTTGCATCTGGCGGCTAAGCAAATAGTTACTTGCTGCTTCTGAAATTCCCCGGCTGGTATCATGGGCCTTTCATCCTACATTGCTCTTCTACAAACATGATCACGCGAAAGATACTACGGGTTCGGATCCCGATGGTGACAAGATTTTCGACACTCGCTAGATAGCTAGGTAGCATTCAGCTGCAGCCTGGAGGAGAATTCTAGCAGCCAGCTGCCCTGCTCGACAGTTTTACGTAGTTTCTCCAATAAATATCAGGTGAATTTCAGAGTGTATAAACTAACAAACAGGCCATGGACCGCGCGCGATCTTTCCTCCCTCTCCCTTGTCGTATCCTCACCTTTACTTACACACTTACATTTACATGCTCTACACCACCACACATGACGGAAGCTAGAGCTAGTCCTGTCTGCGGCGGGGCCCCGCTGTTGGGAGAGTCCTGGATGAGGGAAACCCCGCAAGGTAAAGTCTAGACCGGCTCCTGCTCCCACCATCCAGCCGGAGAAGAACATCGCCACATCCATGAGAAATGAATGCACTATACTTACGGGACATACCGGGTCACGCGCCCCCAAAACACCCGGAACCGCCCGGAACCGCCCGGAAATAAACAATGAAGGGACTTATGATGCTTTGTCATTATATTCAGCTCAGGGGCTGACCTTCGAAATTGTGATCCAATATGAAGTTATTTTCAATGTCTTCTAAGTGCGGAACGTTTGCACAGATCCAAGTAATACATTAATAAAAATAAACAATTTGGAACAATTAATTCCAAACGTCTTCCAAGCAATTAAGAACATGTGAAACTGGAAATCCCCCGGGGTTAATATTATCTGGAATTATTGGATTAAGACATTAACAGCAATTCATTCTCATCTCGATCAGGTTTGTGTCCAGTTTCCCCGATCCATTGAGCAAATGCTGAGATTGCCCCTTGTTTTGCTTCTGGACATAAATGTAGCGTCACTATGCGCATGTTTTGTTGAACTCTCCTTTTGCTTGTAATGGTAAGAGTAGAGGTAAGGGTGAGTAACTATTTTGTTAATATTGCAAGAAATAAAATCTGCAGTTCATTTACCGATGCAAATACGTTTTCTATAACTCGGAAACGAAAATGTCTATTTTTTCAAATCTTGCTAATCTCTCGATATTTTTTAAATGTACTTTTATTTATTTATTTTAAACTTTTACTCATCTTTCAACTTTTTGTAGTTAAAATGACGAAAAGGGATTCTGGAACTCAAGAAAACGTGCGCAGATAATCTTCGCCATACGTCACATACAGTTTTTACTGTTTTTTTCTGACTAAATACATCTAAATGTAGCAAATGTTGTTAATAAAATGTTAGAAAACCCCAAAGGAACTACGGCATGGCTCATGTGCGGCATTGCGTATTTCCTACCCAAAGCGAGAGACAGCTCTTTGGCGGAGAACTACAGGTCAATCATTTCTCTGCCAGTAATATACAAAGTTATAACTGCAGCCATAGCTGACAAAATGTTCAGACATTTAGAGAAAAACCATCTGTTGCCAGTTGAACAAAAAGGATGTCGTAAAGGTTCCTATGGCTGTAAGGAAATCTTGCTAATAAATAAAGTAATCTTGAATGATGTAAAGAAACGAAAATGTAATTTAAGAATGGCTTGGCAGAAGGCTTTTGACAGCGTACCACACGATTGAGTTTTGAAAACACTTGGGAACTATCGATTTCATCCTAGACTTGAGTTCTGAAAGGCTAGTATGAAGTCATGGGGTAGTAGGTTAGTACTATATAGAAAAGAAAGCAGTAGAAACAAGAAGTATTCAGATTAACAGGTTTATTTTTTCAGCCAAGGGATTTGCTATCCCCTTTGCTGTTTTGCATTAGTTTGATCCCACTTTCTAGACAATTGTCGCACACTGACGTTGGCTACAAGCTCCATGGTGATGAAAGACGAGTATCACTTTTGTTTTACATGAATGATATCAAAGTGTTTGATAAGAATGAAGCGATTCTCTCTCAAATGCTGACTGTCGTGAATGACAATTTACAATGACATATGCATGAAGTTTGGTCTCGACAAATGTACAAAACTCAATTTAAAGAAAGGCAAAGTGACAACGACGGAGAGCACAGATGTTGATATACACACTGAGATTCAAGATCTTGAGCCAGGTAAAATTTACAAATATCTGAGCATTGAAGAAAGTGAGAACATCTCGAATGTCACAATGAAAGAGAGAATTCGCAGGAAGTATTACAGAAGAG